TACCGAATTATTCTGATCAAATTTCTGAAGAAGAGAACAATATTAAAGGTGAAACTCTTAAGAGATCTATAAATAATGCTGACAATGTTTTCGCAGATCAAGAAGAATTAGAAGATGGATCAAGTTTCGCTTCAGAAGATGTGCCATGTTTTGGGTTGGGCTATAATGATGTATATATCCCTATACTTATTATATGAAAGAAACATCTGATAATTATTATTATAAAAATAGGGTTTAAACTATCATTTCAACCGGGAAATTTTAGAAATTTATAATAATGCAGAACAATGGTAAATAATAATTTAAATTCATAAAAAATGATTGTCTATACTAAAATGTACTGTATATGATTGTTTAGTGATCCTATCAAAATGGGAGTGATAAATCTTGAAGATCCCCGAAAGAACCAAACAAGACCGTTTAAGTTGATTTCGGAAATGTTTAAGAAAGACTTTAGAAGATGTGCAGACGATTATATAAATTCAGAGGTGAAGACGATGTTGATTGAAATAAGAAACATTTCGGATGTTTCTGCAGCACAAAGCTTTGTATCTAAATATAAAGAATTGGAATCATTCGAATTTGATATGGCTTCAGTAATTCAAAGTTTCGTTGTTTCGATCGCCCATACATTGTAAGAGTTATGTAAATCCATAAACTAGAGTTTGGAACACGGAAAAAATTAGACATGCCCTTTTAATGACAAGGGCGTGCCTCGTGCCCCAAACTCTACCATAAATTGATTTTAAAAAGTGTTAACAAATTTCAATTTTTAGCACAAGCTACTTTAGTATGAACGAAAATTATTTCCAACAACCATTGTCAGAAAGTCATATTGCATCAATTATTCATGTACCTATTATCATGAATTTATTTCGCAGCAAACATTACTTTATCAGTATAAACAGGTAATTGTTTTTTGATTTAAAAAGTTTTTTATTTATTTTAAACTGATACTATTGTACAATTTTTTATTTTAATTAATATAGTAGAAATTCAGACAACGACTCGAGAACACGGCATGGCATGATTCCTGACATTAAACTTCTCTTTATTAAAAGGAACGTAGAAATTGTAGTAGTCGAACATGCAAAGAATACATCTAGTGATGGACGAAAGAAGAATATAGATGATAAACAAAACATTATAGTATTGATGCATAATCAAATAACAAAGATACATAATCTTTTGAAAGAAGCTAATAGAGAAGATGATATTAAAGAAATTGAAGTATATGGTATTGTTACATCAAGTAAGTAATGCATGATGACTACATGACCTTTTGTTTAAAAATCTAAATCTTTTTGTAATTTCAGAATTAAAAGTGGAAATTTATGTTATGCATCTATCAGCTCCAGAGTTATACCTCTTTTATAAGATATTTAGTTTTGAACTACCAAAAACAGTTTGTGATTTCGATATACTTAGCAATGTGCTGAGCTGTTTGATTCGATTTCGTGTATGTTTATTTCCTTATTTATTTTCAGATATGATATTTGGTTTTATTAACGAATTACATACAACAAATTTCTATATAGAAAATTGTTGATAACAATTATATAAGATACATTAA